CTCGGGCCAATGCGGAGACGCTAGTGCATGCTTTTATAACCAGTAGAATTGATTACTGCAATGCCCTGCTTTCTGGTCTTCCCAAAAAGAGCATCTCAGGTTTACAACTCTTACAAAACTCAGCAGCACGTGTCCTGATGAAGACCAGGAAGCGGGAGCACATCACTCCGGTTTTAAAATCACTGCACTGGCTCCCCGTATGTTTCAGGATCGATTTTAAGGTTCTTTTAATGGTTTTTAAGTGTCTTAATGGTCTTGGGCCTTCTTATCTTTCAGAACTGCTTTTACTATATAAACCCTCGCGGTCTCTGCGCTCCTCTGGCAGCCGTCTCCTAGTTATCCCTAAAGTTAAGACTCACACCCACGGCGAGGCGTCCTTCAAGTATTACGGCCCTCGCCTGTGGAACAGGCTGCCGGAGGACCTCAGGTCCGAAGGGAACATCCAGGCTTTTAAGAATAGGCTCAAGACCCACCTTTTTAGCTTAGCTTTTAACTGATCACTATTTATCTACAAATACATATTTATCTCTTTTATTATTTTTATCATTTTATCTACATCTTAGTGTTTTTACATGATTATGTTTTCTTTTACTATCTTTATAATCACTTTTTATCAGTTACTTTTCATCATTATTAGCTTTTATTATTTTATATGTTATATATCTTAAATCCTCCAGTGTTTCCTCTGCGGAGCCCTCTGCCTTGGGGCCGGTGGTCAGGGGCGGCGGCGGCCGGGGCGCTCCCCGGGTAGTGCCCGGGCACTGGTGGGGGTTTCTGCCCTACGCCACTGGGCGTCATGGGCCGGTGTCTTGGCTGCTGCCGTGGATCTGTTGCTGCCAGGGCAGATGGCTCCGCTGATGATGTGCCGTTCATTACCTGACCCATCTGAACTCAGCCTATTGTTTACTCTGGTGTTCACGAGTGTGTGTGTGTGCGTGTGTGTGTGTGCATGGACGAGTGTGCGGGTGATTGTATTCTACTTTTGGAAGTTGGGTGCGGGAGGGGAACTGTAATTTTTAATTGTTTTATACTTGGGGAGGGGGCCTGGGATGGGAATGTGGGATCTATGGGGCCATTTTAATCTGTAAAGCACTTTGAGTTGCATTTTTTTTGTATGAAAAGTGCTATATAAATAAAGTTGATTTGATTTGATTTAGGCCATGAACATTAGGTGACAGTGTAATGTAGATCTGTCAGGCTTTTCAAATCCTACATGAGACTTTTTCATGTTCAGCCAGCATGTTAAACTCAGAGTGACCAATCATTTTCTAAATAAGTAAAAATGTTTTTTACGTGAAAGAGCTCTTTAAAAAAAAACTGATCAAACTAAATATTTCTAACACTACAATAACATTTGAGAATCAACATGTCCATTAAAAAACAGTTGCATTACAAAAGGTCAAAGCCAATTTTAAATATTTTTTGTGCTGACCACCAAATTGTTGTTTTCATATTTCTGCACTCATCTGCAGCTGCCAACTTTCCTTTGAACATTTCATATGAAAGTGTGCTTTTAGCTCACACAGGAAGAAACATGTTGTTCTATTTTCTTCATCATGGATCATGACAAGCTCCCTTCAATATCCAGTCAGTTGTACTTTTGCTTTTTATTTTCACAACTCTTTTCAGGTTCCAACTTTCTCCAAAGCCTCTGGCAATCATGAATGTAATAAACAACAGCAAGTCTTAATAATTTAAGTGACTTTAATGGGATAAATCTTTGTTAGTTAAAAGTATCATGCCATCCAAAAAAGGGTACACATGAATGTAATGAGCCATGAAGTCAACTGGACAGTGATGGCATTTTCTGTATCTGTTGCCTCAGGGACATACAACTAAAGCAATACTGTAGTGATTCTTGTATAACATATATTTACTCCTAAAACAGTGTGTGCCAGTTGTCTTGATAAACAGCTATCTTTGTGGAAACATTCCAGTGTTTATCCTAATGTCTTCTGTTGTCTGGGCTGTTCATGGTGTTGAGAGTTGAGCTAGATGTTCCCTTTCAGCCAGTCTCAGCAGAAATCCAGGTCACAATGACCAGAATAAAGTTGCACAAGGTAAATATCTATTGATTTTTTTTTTCACTTTAAGTTCATGTGGGTTTCAGCTTTCTGGTTATGTAATGCTAATGTGGATTTTGTGAATAATAAACCCCTCCCTGGGCTGCCACCTTATCATTTTGGAGGGGTTTGAGTGTTCCAATGATCCTAGGAGCTAAGTTGTCTGAGGCTTTGTGCCTCTGGTAGGGTCACCCATGGCAAACAGGTCCTAGATGAGGGATCAGAAAAGTGCAGCCCAAAGACCTCTTACAAAGAACAAGACAAATAGACATAATGTTCCCTCGCCTGGAAGCGGGTCACCGGGGCCCCCCTCTGGAGCCAGACCTGGAGTTGGGGCACATTGGCATGCTACCCATGGAGCACAGCTGGGTACAGCTCGAAGAGGAGATGTGGGTCCCCCTTTCCATGAGCTCACCACTCGTGGGAGGGGCCAAATGGGTCAGGTGCATTGTGTGTCAGGTGGTAGCCGAAGGCAGGGACTTTGGCGGTCTGATCCTCAACTACAAAAACTAGTTCCTGGTACGTGGAATGTCACCTCTCTGGTGGGGAAAGAGCCAGAGTTGGTGGTTGAGAGGTTCCAGCTATATATAGTTGGACTCATCTCAACACATGGCTCTGGCTCTGGAACAATTGAGAAGCGCTGAGCAGGGGTGGGCATACTTTCTGCCCACCATGTTGGTGCCTATACGTTGGGGTTTACCCCAGTGAACGAGAGGGTAGCCTGCCTCCGCTCTTATATGGGGGGATGAGTTCTGACTGTGGTTTGTGCTTATGCACCAAACTGCAGCTCAGACTACTCATTCTTTTCAGAGTCCTTGGAGGAGGCTCTTCAAGTGACTTGCTCGTTCTGCTGGGGGACTTTAACGCTCATGTGGGCAACGACAGTGATACCTGGAGAAGTGTGGCTGGGAGGAACGGCTCCTGTGATCTGAATCAGAGTGGTGTTTTGTTACTGGACTTCTGTGCCGTCATTTGTTGTCCATAATGAACACCATGTTCAAGCATAAAGGTGTTCAAATGTGCTCTTGGCAACAGGATACCTTAAGCCTGATTTATGCTTCTCCGTCTGCGTCAGTGCGGAGACACGCAACACCATTACCCGTCCTTGCGTAGGGCTCCGGCAGGCATGCAAGTACGTACGGAGTCAAGCCCACTTTTTTAAACATCCGTCGAACGAGACGGATTACGCAAGCTTGTGATTGGTCAGGACGCCGCTGCTGTTTCCAGCGCTGCCACTGCAAAGAGAGCCGAGGATAACTAGCTGCAGACACGGAGAAGCTTGAAGAATACCTCGCGAAAAAAACTTAAAAACATGAACGTTTAATTCTCCCGTGACTGGAGGGGTGAAAAGATGCGCAGCAAGCGTTTTATTTGTGGACAGAAATGACAGGAAATGTGGGTTTAGAGGTGGGGTGCGCATGAAGCGGTGGGAGAATGAGAGACAAATATGTCCGTGTTAAAAGTCTCTTATATACACAAAAAACACAATATAAACACACTGTCTTGGGCCGGATACATGACAGGATACCACAGAACAGCGCTACGCCCTCTGCTGTCCTGCCGGGCAATTGCTTTGCAACACTCTCCAGGAGACGGAGAAGTAAAAGAGCAAAACGCTTCTGTCAGTCCGTGCGTGCCTGTCCCTTGCGGAGCTGACGGAGAAGCATAAACCAGGCTTTAGGCCGCAGTTCAAGATCACCCAGACACGAAAGGTCGTAATCAGATTTACCAGAGGTCCACACCTTCTGCAGTGTCCAGCTTAACCTCCTGACCGCCTGGATCGCTTGGGGATCTTCACATGAGGGTACGTAGACAGGCACAGATTGCATCGGATGGTTTTATTTAGCGTATCAAACCATACAGCCAAATTGATTTTACAACCCAGACTTCACAATCTCTCCCTCAGATATTTGAGAAAGGTTTTGCTAAAATTAGCTCACATTCCATCATTCCATTCATCATCTGTTATCTACACAACTATCATTTCATGCATACTTTGTCATGTACAATCATTTAGGGAAAATGTATCATTTTTATAAACTATAATCTTGACTCCTGTCTAAATTAATATGAAGTGTACATTCCCTGAATAAGTCAAATAAACTAAAGTCTTCTGATTAAACATTAAAAGACCAATCAGATTGATATTTCATATTTAAATTGAATTATCACATCTTATTGATCATTTAATACAGTGGTACTCAACCTTTTTTGACTGATGTACCCCCTGTGAAATATTTTTTTCAGCCGAGTACCCCCTAATGAGCGCAAAAGCATTTTTGGTTGTAAGAAACAAAAGACCTTAAACAGAGCACGGTGCCTTCAGTGACTGATTTATTAAATTTTGGAACTGATAAACAAGTACAAAATTCAACCATTTGAAGAAAAAAAACTACTTCAAATATTTTAAATATTAATAATCCATTACTAAATGTTTTGGAAATATTTTTCATCACTAAAATGTGATTCTAATCAATTAATTGAAAACAGTCGCCATATAACTATTTAAAACCATAAGATTACCCATTGAACAATCCATTAATGTGCAAAACACTGCAAATTTTGAGTAGTCTCTCTTGAACTATTTGAAAAAAAAAAAAAAAAAAAATATATATATATATATATATATATATATATATATATATATATATATATATATATATAGAAATATTTAAAAAAAAAAAATCAAATACAGGCCAAAGAAATGATTAAGCTAATTATAATTAAAGATTTGTGCACATAAAAAAACATATCAACATAAAGTGTCCTCTTTTGGGATCATAGTATATCTGTTCTCTAAAAAAATCATTAACTTAATTTTAAATAAAAACAATAATTGCTAAAAACACATTTAAATCTCAAAATATATTTTTTAAAATCAAAATAATACTGAAATCTTAACATTACTGCACTGAACGGAGTGTTATTACAGACCTTTTAGTGAGACACTTGGGCTTGTGCTTCACTGATGATCTTTTTCATCCTTGGTGGCAGGGAGGCAACTGCTGTGATCAAGCACTTTTCTAGACACAGTCTGCTTCTCTGCTTTGTCTTGATCAGTGTCATTGCAGAGAAGGAGGCCTCACATAAATATGTGGAGGCAAAGGGTAGTAGCTGCTCCAAAGCTTTCTGTCCCATGTCATGGTGCTCCTGCTTCACATACACCCAAAACTGTGAAAGAGTGCACATGGAAAATTTCATCTGGAGGCCACGGTCAGATGACACTTCCAAGAGTTTTTCCTGATAGGTGACAGGGAGCTTTCTTCGGTTCGCTTCAGACAAGAGAAATGGGTTTCTCACCCAATCCAGCTGTGCAGATTTCTCCTCCATGTCAGGAAAATAGGAATGAAAATCCTGAATCAACTTGGTCAAATGTTCCACGATGATCAACTTGACCTGTGCTCTGTCCACATCCTCACTAGAGAGAAAATCATCCAGCTGAGGAAAGCAGGTGAAATCCTCCTGTGCACAGGCCCTCCTCCACAGTTCTGCTTTCTTCAGGAAGCCACCCACCTTGTCATACAGGTTTAAAATGCTGGAGTTCTTGCCCTGCAGAGATGTATTCAGTTCGTTCAGTTTGCTGAATATATCTGCCAGATAACACAGCTTTGCAAGCCAATCTGTGTCCTGGAACAAGGTGGCATGGGGAGATCTGTGCTCAGTCAGAAAGGCGTGCACTTCGGATCTTAATTCCAACAGCCGGTTGAGTATTTTCCCTCGAGAGAGCCAGCGCACTTCTGTGTGCAGCAACAGTTGTGTGTGTTCAGCTCCCATATTTTCACAGAGGCGGGAAAACAGGCGCGCATTAAGTGGCCTTGACTTAATGAAGTTGATCACTTTGATGCTGCTGTTCAAAACGTCATGTAACACAGGGCTCATTTTCTTGGATGCCAATGCTTCCCTGTGTATGACACAGTGAGTCCACATCACGTCGGGGTTTTCTTTTTTAATGCGCGCTATCAGCCCTTTCGCGCGGCCCGTCATTGATGCTGCCGCGTCTGTACAGATGCTGCTGCAGGATTTCCAGCTCAAACCATATTCACAGAAAGCGCCATTGACAACATTAAATATGTCCTCTCCTGTTGTTTTCCCTTCCAAGCTTTTGCAGAATAGTATGTGCTCATAAATGTCATCAGTATCAACGTACCTCACAAAAGCAACAAGTTGTGCATTTCCACTGACATCTGTGGACTCATCCAGCTGGAGTGAAAAGGAGTCGCTAAGTTTTCCCACAACTTGCTCGACAATGTCTGTCCCCATTTTCTCGATTCTGCGGCAAATAGTGTCGTTTGACAAAGGCACGGTCTTTAATGTCTCTGCTGCGCGTTTGTCCAGCATCGTCTCAGCCAGCACTACAGCCGCGGGAAGGAGGAGATCTTCAGCGATGGTGAATGGCTTCTTGGCTTTAGCTACGAGCAAAGCCACTGCATAAGACGCCTCCAGGGCTTTGGCTGATGTTGTGGAGGCCTTCCGCATCGTGTCTTGAGATGATCTGAATTCAGACAGTTTCCTCTTAAAAAAATCCGGTGGCTTACCAACATGACATCCATGTTTTGTCGTAAGATGGCGCTGCAGATGTGCTGGCTTCATGCTACTGTTAGCTAATTTCTCCCCACAGAAAAAACACAGTGCCTTGGGTGGGTTGCAACTCGTGGAAGTAAATCCAAATAAAACATAATCTTCAAGATACAGCCGGAATTTTGCCGGCTCTGGTTTGGCCTTCTTGGCCACATGTCCCTCCATGTTTTCCAAAGAATTGCTGCTGCGCTTCAGCCACGCGTCCATCGCTGATCCAAGTGAGTGACTGATGATGCCAGGCGTTATATGACAGGTTGGAGTAAACCATCTTAAAATGGGGGGGGGGACGGACTCTGGGATTTTGGGTAATGAATTTAGCCTATTTCTACTGAATATAAAACACGTTTTATGAACTTTTACTCAATTAATAAACATTTTAGGAAAGTATTTGTTAAATAATTATTTTTTAAAGATTTTCCATGGATACTATTTTTTTTAAATGAATGTGCATTTTCTCACGTACCCCCTGGAGTTTCTTTACGTACCCCCAGGGGTACGCGTACCCCGATTTGAGAAAGGCTGATTTAATATATATGTAGCCAATCCTTAATATTACAAGGCTGAAATTGATCCATGGGTGGATAAACCCTGAGCGTCACAATCATTGGGATTTTGCGGAGGCTATTTAAAGACTTGATGTCTGTGAGTATTTGAATAAATATCCCGATTTTCATGATTTTTGGGAGCCACCTGACCTCTCAGAAGACTAGGGATGGGTACCGAATTCGGTACTTTTTAAGGTACCGACCGAATTCCACAGTACCGACCGAGCACCCATTCACTTCATTTGAAACGGTGCCTCGTTTAGGCACCCGTCCTTCACAACGAGAACTTGCCTAGACAGCTGCGCATATGCAAGAGCGTTAAGTCATCGGTCGCTGCGAGCCAGTTGTAAACAGAGCAGCATGGGTAGAAAGAACGAAAGCTGAAGCTTGGGTCCACTTCACTAAATGTGATGGGTAACTGGGTGATGATGAAATCAGCGACAACGATCTACGTGAGACATCCTCATCTTAATCTGCTCCGGTAGGTAAATAAAATGTTTAAGATAACGTTAGCTTGATTTGTTAGCTTCCGTTTCACTAATGGTGCGTTCGCTTTCTCCTCGGAACTCCGAAATTCCGACTAGAAGAACATGAACGCACACTAAAGGTTGGCTTCACTTTAATAAATGCGACAGGTGACTGGGTGAAGATGAAACCAGTGACAACGATCTAAGTGTGAGGCATCATCGTTTTAATCTGCTCCAGCAGCTAAATAAACTGTTTAAGATAATGTTAGCTTGATATGTTAGCTTCCATTGCCACCATTGTTATCATCTAATGGTGCATTCGCTTTCTCCTCGGAAATTCTAACTTCCCAGTAGGAAAAATTAAAGAAAAAGGATGGCAAAAGGAATGAACATACACAGTAAATTTAGTTCACAGTAAAGATGTTTGCTTCAGTTTAATTATCAGCTTATAAAATTACAAGGACGATGTTAAAATACAAACAGTTGTATGTTATTTATCGTGATATTTATAAATTATGGTTATGAATTGAGAAGAATATATATCTAATTATGCCCTCCAACAAGCCTCCACATGAATGGAAAAAAGTGCGAAAATTGGTCCCGTTAAGTACCGGTATCGATTCGTGGGTACCGGGAATTAGTACCGGATCGATTCAAATTTCAAAGGTACCCATCCCTACAGAAGACCATAAAAATGTTTAAATAAAGTGGATTATTGACAGGAATTAATTGAGAGCTGATCTGTAGCAAGCAGGGTTCGGGAACTGGAGAGTGGACCACTGGAAGAAAGAACAAGGTCAGTGGGGCAGAAGACAAGGTGAATAATTGAATAATGAGCTCAAAACGGTTTCTTACTGGGAGGATGGGAGGTGAGCTCTGAGCAGGTGAGGAAGGAACCAGAGCTGTGGTCAGGTGTGGAGATCTGAATGAGAGCAGGTGAAGGTGAGAAACTGGCAGGAGAATGGTGATATAATGGGGATGGCTTATGATGTGTTTCATTTGAGGGTGGACAGGAGATGCGAAAGAGGCATCTGCCTTGCAGGCAGAACCCTGGAGGCAAGGTAGAGAGCTGTTGAGTTGAAAAGCTGAATGCTTCAGCGTGGCTGGAGTTCTTGAATCCTAAGTGGGTCCTCCAACATAAATAAGGAACAGGCGAGATTTCAGGATAAATTAGAACACTGATACCGATGGCTGGATGTTACCACTTCAGAAAACAATCTGGCAGTGCGTGATTGGTTCCCAGTTCCTTTTATCCTCCCAAATGATGAGATGATGAGCTTCAGGTGAGCAAGACGATCAGCTGCCGTGATCGCCTGCTGGGAGAAGCTACCCTTAGCGTGTCCGTATGCCCTCCAACAAGCCTGCACATGAATGGAAAAAACACACACAGAGCCCACTGACACCTATGACCTGCCTATTTCTGGTGTCTACTTTTTATTTGTGAGTACTGGACTGGAAGGAGAGCTTCCTCAATATCAGATAAAGCAGAGTTTACAGGAAGAACCGTCTTCCTACACAAACATATTCTTTTTGGATACCTTGTATTCCAACCCAACCCTAATGTGAGTGGTTATGTTGATTTCATTACGCTGTAAAATTAAATATAATTGCAAAGTTAAAAGTAAGCAATGACACTTTATCACCAAACCTCTGAATAATGCTCATTTTTTTGTCCATCCCACCTCTATGTAAGCATCGGCAGGGCTCACATTAATCTTACTCTTTTCTGTAGCACACAGACTGTCAAGTCACTTTTCATTTGACAGTGCAGTGTTTCAGTGAGAGAATGCGTCACATTTTGGCGTTCCTGCCCATACCATTTACATCAATTTTCAATCATAAAAGAGTTGGAAACTCTTTTTTCTGACTCTCCTGGAGCTTTGGAACTCCCTGTCTGTGCATCCTCTGTTCTATGTATTCCTCCCAGTTCTGGAATGGATTATCTCAAAGACAAAGGGGCACAAAGTGGGGGTACACTTTGGGTTTTACATGGTTTTGTAAGACCAGGCTTGTTTTAATCACATTCAAATGCAATACTGTCATTTGATTGTGTAAAAACAAAAAGAAAATCCTAAAGAACAATGTTTCCATTATGATGCTTCTATGTAGTATTGGCTATCAATGGGTTTCCTCCCACACCCGTCAAATATTGATAAAACTTAACAATTAATTTTCTCCAAAGCATTTGGCTGATAAGGCTCACACAACAGACGCTCCATTAAAGCCCTCTTAGCTCTGCTGCCTCCCTGTTAAGCTGTTTTTGAAAGCCACTTCCTTAACATTTCTATTATTTTACCTGTCCAACTGAAAAAGTGTCACCACAAATTGAACAATAAAACTCATCATACAAAATGTCAAAGCTACACTTTGTTTGATGTTAAACCCCAAAGTGAGAGTGGTTCTTATGATTGATGGTAATTAAACTTCATTTTTTTCACAAGACTAAAATTAAATCAGCCTTCTTTCGACTGTAATCTTTAAAGTTACTCTGGACATGCGTTGCTTCCTTTTGTAATTTGGGTTTTTTGGTCGCTGATCTCCATCATATCAATACAGCTCCATATAACCCACTAACTGTCTTGATAACTGCAGATAGAAGCTGTTTAGAAAACAACTGGCAGTAATCAAAGTCAGCTGGTCTAATTCATCCAGTAGGGGTTAATACAACATTTAGTTTCAAGACTTTAACCCTGCAATCTAATTGCTATAGGTAGAATCTGAAATTAAAACTAATATGTCTTGTTTCTTCAAACTTACAGCTTACAGCTCAACCCAAAAATGCATTGACCTTAAAAATGGAGCACCATTTAATTAGACAAAAACATTTATTTTCACCACTACAGCATAAGTTTAGGTTTAGTTTTGTGAGAACAAAAAAAAAAAAAAAAAAAAAAAAAGATCAACCAGACACACATGACCTTTGTATTGTATTACTAGATTTTTTTTAACACAGCAAAAAGGTAACCACATTAGGTTATGCAAATAACTACTGTTCCCTGAAGAAGAGGAATGAGGTACAACGAAGGTACTATGGGACATTCTGCCCTCTGTGGCCTGGCTGAAGACACATCTAATCATGCCTGTAAAGGCAAATCAGTGTGACGCTGTGTGGAGGCCCTGCCCTCCACTTATAAGCGACAGTTCGATAGCTGCTCTTCACCGAGTTGGGCTTTGAAATGGGGTAGCTCTGTGTTGTATCTCGTTCCTCTCCTTCAGGGAACAGTGGTTATATGCATAACCTATCATTCCCTTTCAATCGATTCACTCGGTACAACGAAGGTACCATGGGACTTATCGAAATGTCCCATGAGCAGCTGTCAAACCTGGGCTGAGATTGCAATGTAAGATGGCAAGTCAGACCCAGCAGAAAGAACCGCATGGGCCACCAAAGGGGCCAAAACATCCAAATGGTAAAACCTCACAAAGGTCTGGGGTGTAACCCAGCTTGCAGCTGAGCAAATGTCACCAACTTTAACGCCTTTAAAAAGCACCCAAGAAGCAGCCACACCTCTAGCAGAGTGTGCCCTGACCCCTAGGGGCAGCTGGGAGCCAGTGACACTGTAACACAGGGAAATGGCCTCCACAATCCAATGAGAAAGTCTTTGCTTCAAAAAAGCTTTTCCCACGGAGTTTCTCTGTTTTTAGGATACTCTGAGTGTGATCTGTATAAGCCTGCAGAGCACAAACTGGGCACAGACAATGCAGCCACCTCTGCTCCTCAGAGGCAAAAGGGGGATGATTGAAACCCAAAAGATCTATGGCCCATGGAACCTTAATTGAGCGGGATGACCTTGGGCAAATACACAGCATTTGGATGCAGAATGACCCTAGATCTGTCGTCGTCTTCCTCCGCTTATCCGGGTCCGGGTCGCCGGGGCAGCATCCCAACTAGGGAGCTCCAGACTGTCCTCTCCCTGGCCATCTCCACCAGCTCCTCCAGCAGGATCCCAAGGCGTTCCCGGACCAGTTTGGAGAAGTAACCACTCCAACGTGTCCTGGGTCGACCCGGGGGCCTCTTGCCGGCAGGACATGCCCAAACCACCTCCCCAGGGAAGCGTCCAGGAGGCATCCTGACCAGATGCCCAAACCACCTCAACTGACTCCTTTCGATCCGGAGAAGCAGCGGTTCTACTCCGAGTCCCTCCCGAATGCCCGAGCTCCTCACCCTATCTCTAAAGCTGAGCCCGGCCACCCT